GGCTGGCAGACCAGAGAAGGAACGCAGCTGATAAGTCCACCCAGCTGCTCTCAATCAACATCCCATTGCAGGCTGGAGCTCCTTTTTCTTCTGAACTATCCTGAATTAATTAAAAAAAAAAAGTTTGGTGGCCCTGAAAAGAAATGCTGATGACAGGAAGAGAGTGATAGCCGTTCGAAAACAGAAGTTTGGGATAAACTAAAAATAGAAAGTCAAATTCAGTGATGGATCAAGTAGATAATGTGAGTGAATCTACATTATACTTAATATAGAAGAAAGAACAAATGATTCATGGAACTTTCTGCCTAGTGCTTGTACCAGGACAAAAACTTCTCAAGTGTAAATAAAACTGTTAGAAGGCGAAACACCCTCAGGGGAAGGCTAAGGGGTTCTTAACCATCTTCATGATGGTAGGAGGAGAGAGGAAAGAAGGTGGGGACCATTTAAATAATGTGCTTACAATTCTGGGGTCTCATGAAGTTCTTGAGCTCTACTATTGGGAATACTAAGAAATTAGTCTTCTAGCTTCTAACGTTGAGAAGTTGTAGTCAGGGCTATTCATGGACTTACTTTTGTGTCTAAACTGGCAGAGAACTTATGCCATTTCTGAGCTGTGACTTTGGGCAAGTCAGTTAATCTTGGTGCCTAGTTTCCTCGTCAGTCAAAACAAGGGTAATATACCCTCTAACATTAAGTGAATATATGTAACATGCTTAGAACAGTGCCAGGCATGTGGTAAGCAGTCTGTGTTAAATGACATGATTTTTTTTTACCATATTATATCATTTATATGTGGAATCTAAAAAATAGATACAAATGAACTTACTTATAAACCAGAAATAGATTCACAGACATAGAAAACAAACTTACGGTTACCAGAGGGGAAAAGGGTGGGAGACATAAATTAGGAGTTTGAGATTTGCAGATACTAACTAGATATATAAAGAGATAAACAACAAGGTGCTACTGTATAGCACAAGGAACTGTATCCAATATATATTTTTTTCCTTTTTCAGTTTTATTATGTAGAATTGTTACAGTTTGACTGCACATACATACTATATTGCATGTAAATATGTATACAGTATACTGCACATTTTTTTCAGTTTACATATGTACTAATTATTGTTTCTAAGAACAGATTAGATCTTCAGCTTTTTAAACTTACATAGTTATGAAAGGAATAAAGCCAACTACAAAATAAGAATCAACATAATCTGACATACATTTCAAAAATTTTCTCCTAGAAGAAATAAAAACAAGAATAAACAAATGGGACCTGATGAAACTTACAAGCTTCTGCACAGCAAAGGAAACAAGAAGTAAAACAAGAAGAAAACCTACGGAGTGGGAGAAAATTTTTGCAAGTGAAACCGACAAAGGCTTGATCTCCAGAATATATAAGCAGTTCATACGACTCAATAAGAAAAAAATAAACAGCCCAAACCAAAAATGGGCAGAAGACCTAAACAAGCAATTCTCCAAGGAAGAGATACAAATGATCAAAAAGCACATGAAAAAATGCTCAATATC